GCTACTTCTCAGGACGGGGTCCGTGGCGGGCGGGGGGTAGCAGAGAAGGTAGGGAGCATCAAGATTTGCTGGCTGGACTCTAGGTTGGCCCCTTGGTGCCTCAGTTTACCCCTCTGGATTTGTGAGTTGGTATCATCATGATGGTTTGCATCCGTTTTTAGAGAGACTTAGTTAACCTGTTTCCTCAAGAGAGGGACTCACATTCATTGAGTTCAATCTTCACAAGACTCCTAGGAGAAGGGTTTATGTTTCTTTAAGTAATCTCTGCCAATGTGGGGCTCAAACTCATGACCCTGAGATCAAGGGTCACACGCTCTACAGACTGAGCCAGCCAGGCACCCCGAAGGTTCTTTTCTCATCCCCGCTTTCCAGTGAGGTAGGCTTAGAGAGGTTAAGGGCCTTTGCAAAGTTACAGAAGTCCGGTAAGTGGCAGAACTGGAGTTTGAGCTGTGGTCTGACACCAGGAGCTGTGTTCTTTGCCTGCGACCACAAGTGCTTCCAGGAGATTCTTCCAATGAGCACTTTCATTGTTAATTTCTTATTATGGTGAGTGAATGTGGTTTGTGAGCTCTCTGGTGTTTGTTTTGTTTTGTGCGGGTGTTTTGTGAGGTGGGGCTGGGAAATTTGTTGAGATTTCTTGTGCCCTAATAAATGTGGATATTTTTAAAGCCTATTTTTAGTGTGTTTGGAGAAAAATGTGTGTTCTGTTTGTTGTGTACAAAATTCTCTACATACCTATCGGATCAAGCTTGTTAATTGTGTTTTTCAAATAATATGCATTCTTCTCAACAAATGTTTTTTGAGTTTATTTTTTTCAGTAACCTCTACACCCAACGTGGGGCTTGAACTCACGACCCCCGAGATCAAGAGTCTCATGCTCTTCCAACCGAGCCAGCCAGGCATGCCCCCAAAATAATATGCTTTTTAAAAAACTTCTTATTTATTTTTGTCACCTTCCCAAAGGTTGATGTCAGAGATAGATGTGTTAAAATTCATCTTCCCTATGCTTTTTTAAAATCAGATTTTCCTTGTGTTCTATTTTTTTTTCTCCCTATATGTCAAAGCTATGTTATTAGGTACAGTGTTTATGAATATTGTGTTTTCTTGGTGGACTGGACCTTTCATCAGCATGAAATGTGCAATATACCTCCTTGCTCCTTATAATGTATTTGCCTTAATTCCATTTTCATTTGATATTAATATTGCCATTCATCTTTGTCTATATGAGCATTTCTCTGGTGTATCTTTCAGTTTTTAAAATTAATGACGTTGTATGAAATGAAAGTTATAGGCATTCATTATAAAAAATTCGAGCAATACGGAAGTGTAAGGAAGAAGGCCAACGCTGCCTGTTCCCCATCATTGGATGTCTGACTGACACTTCTCTGTGTATATATAGGGAGAGAAGGAGAGTGGGAAGATTCGTAGCCAGCCAGACTGTACACACATGGAGAATAGGGATTTAAAATTTTTTAATTTATTTTAAAGAGAGAGGGAGAGAGTGAGCAGGGGGAGAAGGGCAGAGGGAGAGAGAGAGAGAATCTCAAGCAGTGGCTACGCTTAGCATATACCCCAGCGAGTGGCTGGATCCCTGATATCCGAGCAGATATCAAGAGTCAGATGCTCAACTGACTGAGCTACCCAGGCACCCTGGGAAAAGGGATTTTTAAGGGGATGAGATCATACTGTTGATGACATTCAAGCGATTGCATTTAATTTTATTTAAATGTATCAGAGGAAGAAGAAAGCAAAATTAAAAAAGAATGAAATGATCACAAGAGACAGTAGTTTCTAAGAAAATCCTCTAAAATTAAGAAGAGGTGTTGAAAATCAAGAAGCAGTTAGGAATCATTTAAGGAACAACTACGTCTTGTATTAAAGTCATGTTCTACTTGTTTCAGATTTTGGATGGGATGGAGTAGATAGGCTTCCTATAATGAAAAATGAAGTAATTAGCCTGCCTCCTCCCTGTCCTCTTCCTGACTTATTACTTACGTTTTTTTTCTTTGTTATTGCCTGTGGCATTTATATTCTTTTCTGTAACCCACAGTCCCTTGGCATGTTTGTTTTAGTTTGGTATTTAAACTCATTCGTTGTACAGTATGAGCACATTGACCACAGCTTCACTCTTTCTGAACTTTTTTTGTAAGTCTATTTCTTTCTTTCTTTTTTTTAACGTTTATTTGTATTTTCGAAAGAGAGAGAGACAGAGCGCGAGCAGAGGAGGGCAGAAAGAGGGAGAGACACAGAATCCAAAGCAGGCTCCAGGCTCTGAGCTGTCAGCACAGAGTCCAATTCAGTCCAATTCAAACTCATGAACCATGAGATCATGACCTGAGCTGAAGCCAGAGGTTTAACCGACAGAGCCGCCAAGGCACCCTCTGCTCTAGGAAGTTCCTACACGTAGAATCATAACATATTTATCTTTTGTGACGGCCTCATTTCACTTAGCATAATGTCTTCAAGGCACTGTATCATGTGTCCGAAGCTCCTTCCTTTTCAAGGTTGAATAATATTCCGTTGGATGGATCAACCC